CTACTTTCCACGTTCTAGCTTTGGAATGACACACAGGTATCTGGATTATGATCTTCAGTGGGTTTGTTGTAAACACATACACCGCTGTTTTAATTTCCTGTTTCTTTTTAAAAAGTCGTTTATGTTTTATTTTTAGTTATGTGTCTGTGCACATGGATGTGGGTGCTCAGGGAGGACGGAGGTGTCAGATCTCCTAGAACTGGAGTTCTATGTGGCTGTGAGCCATCTGATATAGGTGTTGGGTAGGAGTCGAACAACACCATCATTTTGAAATATCACTAGCTTATGCTGAAGATAGAGGCCGGATTCTCTATTTAATACACCAATTTGTAATCAAAAATCCATTAACAATATTGTCGTTAAACTAAGGAGATAATTACTTTGGATACATATGGAGTGTACAAAATCCTAGGCCCACTGCAGCTGGTAATAATGGCGATGCTAGCCATGTGTTATGAGAGACTTAAGAACAAAGACATCAACACCATTGCAGCACACACACATAATTTTCGTCCAAATGGAAGAATCAATACAGTTAGCAAATTCTTGAAAGCATATTGGAGTAATCCAATACAGACAATAAAGAACATTTTCAAGGTATTAGGAGTTAGAACTTGAAATTTGTAGTATTTAATGAAAAGGGAAGCTACCAGAATTCTCTTCTGTAGGATACCACAGATAAAAAATTACATCTATAAATTACTTCCATGTAAATATTATTTTCATACTCAAGAAAATGTAGTGTAAGATAAATGACCTCACTTGAGGCAACTTAAGAAAAAACCTTAAATATTTCATAATATCACTTTTTTTTTCCTGTACGGGTAGCTTGCGTCTGTGCACTACAAGCATGCAGTACACACAGAGCCTGGGAGAGGGCATCAATATATTTGGAACCAGAGAAAGAGACATGTGTTCAACTATGTTTATAGCAGCATTGCTTGTCATAGCCAGGACCTGGAAACAACCTAAATGTCCCTTGACTGAAGAAGGGATAAGGAAAATGTGGTACATTTGCACAATGGAGTACTACACAGCAGAGAAAAAAATAATGATATTTTGAAATTTGCAGGCAAATGGATGGAGCTAGAAAACATCATATTGAGTGAGGTAACCCAGACCCAGAAAGACAATTATCATATGTACTTACTCATAAGTGGATTTTTAAACATAAAGCAAATATAACCAGCCTACAAATCACATTCCCAGAGAACGACAACAATGAGGACCCTAAGAGAGACACACATGGATCTAATCTACATGGGAAGTAGAAAAAGACAAGATCTCCTGAGTAATTTAGAGCATGGGTACCATGTGTGGGAGGTCCTTCTGTCTATGTGTTGCTTTAATTGGTTAATGAATAAAGGAACTGCTTTGGGCCCATAGCAGAGCTATAGGGAACAGAGCTAGGCAGGGAAAACTAAACAGAATGCTGGGAGAAAGAAGGCAGAGTTAGAAGGATGCCATGAATCTGCCGCTGGAGATAGATGTGCTGAAACTTTGCTGATAGGCTATGACCTCATGGTGATATACAGATTAATCGAAATAATTTAAATGAAGATGTAAAAGTTAACCAATAAAAAGTTAGAGCTAATGGGCCAAGCAGTGTTTTAATTAATATAATTTCTGTGTGATTATTTTGGTTCTGGGCGGGCTGGGATGAACAAGTAGGCCCTCCTCCTATAGGGACCATGGGAAAGGGTTGAAAGGGAGGGGAAAGGCAGGAAGGGAAGTAGAGAAAAATGTATAGCTCAATAAAATCAATAAAATGTTTATTGTTCAAAAAGAATTTGACATGTAAGCAAAATTCTGTTTTCTCCAAGTTATTCTGCATTTTTTTCAAAATTGGTTGTTTTTATAAAACATAAATAAATATTTTGTCTCAGAATCAGGCTCATTTATATGTCCTGAAGCAAAAAGAAACAGGGAGATTTTAAGAGTTTGCAGATACTAGAGTCTGAATTAAACTTGAAGAGCATCTTTAAAAAAGAGAGAGAGAAAGAGAAAGAGAGACTGCTATAAGCCTCCATCGATGCTGGGAATCAAACTCAGGTCCTTAGGAAACACAGTGAGTGCTCTTAACCACTGAGCAACCTCTTCAGCTCCACCCTCACATTTCTGTTTCTTTCTAAAAAGTTAACAATTTTTCTAGTCCTTTAAAATATATTAAAGTTTACATTAAGGATATATCTTTGAGTAGACCTGGAAATCAGTATGCTAAGCATAAGAAGCAGAGTTTGAAGAACAGACATTGCATGTTTTTCATATATTAAATCTAGGCTTTTTAAGGCAGAAAAATAGAAGGGGGGCCATTTAGGAAGAGGGAGACTCCAATGATGTGAGCCAAGACAGGGTGAAGCACGTCAGAGGAGGACAGGATCAAAGTGTGCTACATGCATGTACAGATTGTCACCAGTTAGTCTGTGAAAAATAATGTATGCTAATAACAATACCTCCATTACAAAGAGGTTTTATATGCCTAGAGAAGCAATAAAACATCACATATAGTTCTGGCAGTTGAGGATAGCTATCAATATTATTTTGATTAAGTAATTTTTATTCTTTTCAACTATCTCCAGATTAACTTCCATATGAAAAACATTACAATAGGGCCATGTCAAAATATACTTTGATAACTTCCTGTATTTACTTATATAGATAATGGATTTTTATGTTAGTAATTTTTCTATGTACATTTTAATGACTTTATAACATGGTGAGACCAGTACATGCAGTTTAATAACTTTATATGTCTCCCGGATTTCTTTATTATACACACTCATAATAACATTAACATCCCCAGAGTTCCTTCCATGTTTAAGTCTCATCAATAATCTCTCAGGGCTCTGCCTTTCTACAGTGTTTTCTTAAGTGTAATCCTTGCCTTTCCCGCCTTAAACTTTTTTTCACTTATGGGCTGTGAAGGTGAAAGATTATTCTGTCCAAATAAAAGGATTGCTTGTTTTAGATCCTTCATGTTCATAATACTCATGTACATTTTTTAAATTCTCATCCTCTATCCAGAAAGGGTTTCCTAATCCTATCCTTACCCAAGTAACATCATTGCAAAATACTTGGTGAGTTTCTCCTTGATTAGTCACATGTAACCAGGCCGTTGTTTATTGTTCTTCCTATTAGACTCTTATATTCCAAGTGAAAAGGATTGACGGCTAGGGTGGATGAAGGTGGGGGATGAGGGTGGAGAAGGGGTGATAATCAGACTGTAGGTGCTTAGCCTTGCCTCCCTCCTACCAGATTTTATGCCCCTATGATCCCAACAACTCTGTCATTTACTTTTGCTGCCTATTTGCTGAGTACTGGAGCTGCCTCACTCACAGGCCCGGGACTCTCTGGAAAGTTTTCTTCAGGGACTGAAATTTAAGAACACGGTCTGATAAATATGCCTATGGTGGTAAGGTAATCACCTGAGGACATGGCGCTGTTTGTTCTCCACCTGCTCCTCTGCTAGGCAAAAGGGAAGAAAGGTGTGTTTTCTTTAAAACTGAAATATGACAGAAGAGTAGTACTGAAACACTATTATGTAATATTTTTAAATCTTGATCAACTCAAAATTTATATTTTAAAATTTTGGGATTTTCATACTAAGCAGTACCAACTTTATATTAAGATGGGATAATCTTGAGAACAGTTTCAATCACAAATGCATGTCAAAATAATTATTTTAGTTAATACAATTCTGAAAATAATTAAATTTATCACTTATGAATCACCACCTCTCCATCTTCATATAAATGTGCTCATTTTTTTAATGTGTTATACTAATGGGTAACATGGATGCCAGAGAGATGTACTTCTTGATACTTTCTTTTTCTTTTCAGATTTTACAGAGCAGAAATCTAGCAAGTGTGAACGAGCCTAGAGACTGATAGAGAGGAGGAAATGGCAATCATACAGAAATCCAGTCAAAGGCCTTGATTACAGAATTACAAAATTACACTCCTCACTCTGAATACAGTACTGCTAAACCTCCAGGGACTCATCACAACTTTAAATCTGAGTGTGTCCCTAAGGGCCACTTCTGTAGCTGGAATGGAAAAAGCCAGTCTTTTATAATCTTGAAACCACAAATAATAAAAAACAAAGTTGGTAAGTCAAGTGTCAGAGCAGAAATCAATAAAGTGACAGTCACCAAAGACACATGTAACCTGTCATAAAAACATCAAATGATTTATAAAGTTGGCCTACAAAATAAAAGTAGCATGCGCTGTATTAAATAGATCTGCTCTTTTGAAATCATAGCATGAGTAAAAAGGTAGAGCCCTCAGTATATAAGAATGCCTAGTCAACCCTGGAAGCGTTTACCATTTTTTACCTCCTAGGTATTCTATAACTAGAGCCAATGACCCTAATAAATTACAGCATCACACCAGACAGAGTAGAAGTTCTGAATAGTAAGGGTTGCTCTCATTGTGAAAGAAGGATGCAAATTAGTTTATCATACTGAAATTAAAAGGGAATATTAATGAAAATTAATAATTCAAATTGGGGAGATAAAAAGGAAATGTTAATCTATCAGTTCTGTGCTGAAGTCTCTCTTGACTTACTCTTATGACTAAAGAAAACTACATAAAAGTCCAAGTATAACATTAACTTTATAAATGAAATGTAAATAGCTTTTAATTCCAGGGGTGCCACCAAGGGCAAAATGTATCCTGGCTCCTGGAATCTAAGCCTCTGGAATCTGTGCAGGAGCCAGTACTTTAAATACCACTCTCAGAGTCTCTTGTACACACTGGGTGTTAGGCCAACCCTTTGAGGAACTCTGTGAGGGAGCGATTCGGTGGTCCTCTGCACCCTTACCTTCTTGCCCTATGTCGCTTACAGCTGTTCTCAGTCCTACTCCATGTACATCCTAGTTTAGCTGGAAGATTCACGAAAGTGCTTATTTGTCTTAAATTCAATTGCTTTTAGTTTGTCTCCTTTCCAATAACAAGCAAGTAACTTTTGATGTAATTAACAGTTGCTCTAGTTTTACTTACCTTCACATCTTCATGCTCATCCAGAAAGTTCTATTCGCATGGAGGAGAGACGTCCAAGAATATGCCAAAGTGGGTGTCAGCTGGCCTTTGAGACTCTTGAAGTAAGCAGCAGAAACCACCAGTCTTAAGCCAGTGGAGCTTGGTTATCTCTAAACAGAGCAGAGAGATAGATACTTGGTCACATGTAATCTACAATCACCAGGATCTGCCATGAACAAGGTTACTCTCAGTAAACTAACAGTGTTACTAAATTTAAACTTGGACAAGGCTAGTTGCTCCCCGATTTAGCTCAGTTGTCATTTAAAATTTCATGACATTATGAAGTCAATATCATGGGATGACTCTAACTCCAGAGGAATCAGTTGGAGTTCCTACTGTGGTAACTGACTATTTTTCAATCAATGAATTAAGTGGTATATTTACTAAATTTATTTTTGATATGTGAGTGCTAAATTCATACTGAATTTCTCAGCCAAGGTTGATAAGGTCCCTTGGAAACACATCTTTACACAGAGGTCTATAGTATCCCGAGAAACATAATGATGGAATATTTTTACTAAATCCCTAAGGAATCACCTAGTAATTTTGCTGTTTTCTTTCACATGGATAATGCTTGCAAAAATAATTAGGCATATACAAGGATAAAAATGCTTTATAGTTCTTAAGTGTGGTAGTTTATGTTTTCCTACTTAGGAAAACCAAAATTCTAATGTCTTTGTTGAGTGAATTGAATAGAGGTTAATGAAGATGAATAGAAAAGGAGAATAAAACACTTTCAAAATATGATAATAAACCATGCAAATGTTTTTATAAAGGGGGAAAGAAAGAAAAAGTATAGGCAAAAGTAAGATCACAAACAAAGTGACAAGTACACACTATACAGCAAGCCTGGGAGAGCTTGCATAAAAACAGCTCTCATGGAAGAGGTCCCATACTACTCAGCTACCTTCTTGCCCGTGCCTCACAAACAGAAATAAGAGAGATCACATGACCATGTCAGAGACCATTAGCAATGTGAAATATACTGAATAAAGATACTAGAAGAACTCTGATTTATTTATTAGTAAAAATAGTCATGATAGGGAGAAAAGACTTTGAGATAGGTAGCCATCCTGTTGCTATAACATGAAACTCAATGAAACTTCAGAGAAGCAAAGATATGGACACCTATGGATAAGCAGCAGAGCCATTCCTATTAATTTTGGAAAGCTTTTGACTAATATCGCTGGGTTTGGGGCTGCAGAGATGACTTATAGAACTAGAGGCAAAATTTCTTATTTTTGATCATTAAAAACTCAAGCTTTTCTGAATAGAATTCATTCATTTGGAAAATAGTTCCTATAAATGAGTTCCTAAATATTGAATATTTATATGAAAAAAGAAATTTAAGTAATTCAAAGGGGGGTCTATTATCCTATATTATACACAGAACTCACTCTAAACGAAGGAACTGTTTTGTAAGCAGTCAAACATGGGTACTTGTGGAGGAAGCTGATAGGAATGACATAGTATACATGGGAAGATATATGTATATAGGAGGATGGTGCCATGTTTGTGTCCTCAGGGCTCCTGACTGTATGTAGCATGGCGAGACAGTGTTTTCTGAATGAAAGACAGACAGACTGAATAAGAAATTTGGAGGCAAAGAAATCAAGAAGCCAATAAATAGAAAAGTAGGCAATGAAAATTTTGTACTTGAACAAAATTTTAATCCACCAGTCCTGAAGAGCAGTGCTGAAGTTTTCCCAGGCATATTTACTTAGTAAGTAACTGCCTTTGAGCTTCTAGAGACTGTTGTTCAGTTCTACATCCTTTCTAGATGGTTCAGAGTATTGCACCTGTTACGAAACTACAGAAAAAGAAGGATGGAAGTGAGGATAGAGAAAGAAGGATGGAAGGGAGGATAGAGAAGAAAAGAAGTCATTCTTAATGAAATGCAGTTTAAGAATGACTACAATGAGTTCTTGAAAGAAAAAAAAAAACACCAGAGAGCAGTCTGTTTACAACTTTTATCCCGAGTACCGAGAGGTAGTTCAGAAAGTCAGTGAATCACAACTTAATACTCAATTGTTTCTCAAGAAAATAGATCCCATAAGAGTATTAATCATGCTTTCATTTCTTTTGTGGCTCAGATTCCATAGGGAGGTCAATTCTGCACCATTTAGTTTTGCTCTTTGATATATATATATATATATATATGTATATATATTCATATTTATGGAATATATGTAATGAGTTTAACTGAAAGATGAAAGAATAAAGTCTTATACTTTGCCTCTTCATATGTCTGTGTACATGTTTTTCTGATATAGCAAAACTTATTTCAACCTACTGAATCTTCCATTAGCATGGTTTTAAATTTTATTTTCTTATTAAAACTAAAATTGAGTTTGTCTTTTTGCATCAAAAATTGAAGCATGTACTATAATTACAGTGTTTGACTTTGTGTTTCTTTTTTAAATGATTATTTTGTTAAGAGTAGGAGATTTCCAGGCAGTGGTGGAGTACACCTTTAATCTCAGAACTTGGGAGGCAGAGTCAGGCAGATCTCTATGAGGTTGAGGCCAGCCTGGTCTACAGAGCAAGTTTCAGGACAGCTGTTATGTAGAGAAACCCTGCCTCAAAAAAACAAAATCAAAAAACAACAACAACAAAAAAGAGCAGGAGATTGCTGACTCATGTTCACTTATGTAGGTGTTCTTCTAAATACTGGCTACTTCTAGTTCACATATATTGAGTACCCTTTGACAACTTCCACTGACAAAAGTGTATTTTTCCCTTATATCTTGAAAACTTCTCAAGGAGGCAGAAATATAATACTGTAATATTAGAGATAATTAAATGAAAACAATATACACATGGTTACCCCTAGATGATCAGTTTTCTGTGGGTGTGGGGGGGTGGGTGGGTTTTTTGTTTTGTTGTTCTTTTGTTTTGTTTTTGTCAACAGGGGACTGAAGGGTCTGGACACTGGACACCCCCAACATGTACCTAAGAAGATCTGAAAATAAGGTCATTGCAAGATACAGTGGTGGACCATGACTAAAGAAACTCAAATTATCTGACAGCAGAAAGGGGGATAGCTATATCAGAGCAGCTGTTAATTACTTAAAAAGCCATTCTGATATAGAGCATGTAATTCCGTGGAAAGCAATTAGAACCACAGGGACTTTACAACTAAAAGGCGAAAGTCTGAGTCTCTAAGGTTAACTGGGATCCTGTGCACACCTGGAAGCTTGGCAGATGTCTCCTCAAATCTCTCCCTGTCTTGGTAGTTTATGCCCCTCCCCTGCCACAGTGCTTATTGTTAGGTGATCGCCCAGTCACAAAGAGACCTTGTGGAGATGGAGGACTGAAGGATGCTGATGTTCTGGAAACTGTCCTGACTAGGTATGCTACCCAATTCACAAGTGTGGTCACAAGTGTCATTTCCTAATGAGCGTAACCAAACTCCTTCAGATCCTCAGAACATGAACATGAAAATCAACACTCTTGACCATAGCAGATTCTGCAAGGACAAACTGTTTATAGTGTCAATTCTAGGTGACCCTGGCGGTCGGATCCATCCAGAATATCAATGCAATGCTCCTTGCTCTGGTCCTTTTCTCTTTGTATAAAAAGATGATCGATAAAACACATGCCATTCAGGGACATCTCTAGTCTTTATGTTGCAGAGATAATTATACAAACCACACAGAGCTCACAACAGGTAGCACTCACTTTATATAGACACAGAGTTCAACTGCCCAAAGAGGCTCGTAAGTATGTATTGGGCATACACTGAAGAATTGTGAATGCTTTTATCTCTGTTCATATTTTGTAGGATAACCAAATAACAAGGAGCGTTATTCCCCCTGTTTGTCCCGTTGCTTTTGATGAGCCACAGTTGAATGTTTCTCTTTTTATGTGAAGGGAAGGGTCTCTTGAGTCCAGAGACTCTATCTGGACCCCTCTGGCAGCAGTAGAATGCTGGGAGGGGAACAGAAGCTTATAATACATGGTGCTGATCTCTACACAAGGTATTTTGCATGAGTGCAAAAGAGAAAAATGTTGCTAGCCTTTATCTGCTATCCGTTTCATTTATTTCCGGCTCAGGCAAGACAGGAGGTTTGCATTGCTCCCGAGCGTGAGCATGATGCATTTAGATACATTTTCCATTGCTCCACAAGATAAAACATATGCTTTGTAACAATCAGCACTACAATTTTATGCTGAACAGAAATATTTCAGACTTTGATGGGCTTAGCAAATACACACACAGGGAAGATGGATGTCAAAGAACAGGCGAATGTTTAACTGTCTCCATCATTGGTGCTGTTGGCTCTGGGCCCACACTGTTGGTGCTGCTTACTCAGAAAAGTGAATTACACACAGTTATTATGATAACTTTGAAAATAGGTTTATAGAGCTGTGGGAAAAGCTCAGTTATTACAGTGCTTGCTCTGTAACTTCAGGACCTGAGTTTGCTCACTAGAACTGACGTCAAAAAAAGTTAAGTGTGTTAGCATGCCCATTTAATTCCAGGACTGGGGAGTTATTAAAGTGGATCATTGAGGTTTACAATGAGACAGCCTGTCTTAAGAAAAGGTGGCTAGCCTCCAAAAGAACAGTACCAGTGTGTGTCCTGTGATTTCCATACCCGGTGAATACCCCTCCCCCCCCCCCCCACACACACACAGTCACCTGATATAGGCTCCGGGAACTGAACTCCAGTTTTCTGCAAGAGAAGTACATGCTCTTTACTACAGAGCTATTTTTCCAGCCCAGTATAAAATGGATTTATAAAGAATTAAGTTATTTAAATATCTGCCTGTTTCTAAAACTTATGTCATAAATATGTTTTAGAAACCCTAGTAATAACGAAAGACTTTTGATGGGGGCTGAGGATCAAGGAGCAGAAACTTCACATTTTGGTTTACACTACTGAACAATGTTTCTTTAGTTGACAGAAAAATAGCTTCAAACTAAGATGCACAGTTGTTTATGCTAATTATTATCCAAGTAATGTTCTGATAAGTCAAGTATGAATCAAAATATGATTATTTGATTATTAGCGATATGTTCTCTGGACTTATGCAGTGGGGGGGGGGTCATTGAAATCCAGGCTATCTGATGACCTGAAACAACCATATTTTTCCTCAAGTGTTTA